CATAACTGAGGCTTTGCTAGGTGTAGTTCCACTCCCCACGCCCCACATTGCCACTTTTCCTCCATATTCTTTTCCTTCTGCAAACTTTGCTCAGACATTATCTCCTATGGCTGAATTAGGACTTGGTTCCCACTGCTCCTTATGTAAAGCTTTATCATTGCACTCATAATGCCACATTACATTTTCTGATTTGCTTCTATGTAGTTATAACTACAACTTTTATCCCTGTGCTGTGTACAGGGCCTGGTACATAGTAAGAAGATAGGTTCTAACCACCCTGAAGGCTCCAGATCCTCAGCTGTCCCTTCCAGCTTCATGAGCCAAAACAGAAATAATATAAACTGATAAATTTATTCATATGTAAAGGACTATAGAAAAGTAGTCAATATGTCTTTATAATAGACTTTGCTAATTGTTGTTCAAACCTATGTTATCACTGAATATTTTGTCTGTCTATTTTATCAGTAGCAGAATATGTTAACATCTCATGCTAAAATTGTTGATTTTTTTACATTTGCTTTCAGTTTTGTAAAGTTTTTGTGCCATCATTTTCCAGCTTCAGACTATTCCTTTAAAAAGTCAGTTCTAAATCTATTGTTTCTTTAAAGATAAGCTCTTATTTTCCCTAGTTCTTCTTTAGATTTTTCTCTTTGTCTTTGGATTTTAGCATTTTTTCCATGATGTAGCTACATGCCAACTGTATCCTGCTGGTGATTCATTAATTCAAATATTATTTCTGCCAAATACTATTTTTCCTTTCCTTCCAGAATTCCAACTACATGCATATTAAGCTTTATAACTATATCTTCTATGTGCTTTCCCTATGTTGTGTATTTTCCATCCTTTTTCTTATGCCTCATTCTGCATAGTTTCTTCTCAACTATCTTGTAGTTCACAAATTCGATCCTTATCTGTGTCTAATATGCTGTTATACCCAGCACTGAATTCTTATCTTCAGCTAGTGAATATTTTGGTTCTAAAATTTTCATCGGATTCTTTTTTTCAGGTTTCCAGTTATCTGTCTAAATTTTTATTCTTATGTTTTATTTACTTATACATAGAAAGCATTGTTATTTTAAAATCTGTGTCTGATAATTTCACTATCGGAATCCCTTTTGTTCAGTTTTTGTTGTTGTTTCTGTTGTTTTTTGTTTGTTTCTTTGTGTGATTGATTATTTTTCATTGTGTACTAGACATAGTTTTTGTAAAATGGTACAAAGGACTTGAGGCCTAAAATGATATTACTTTACTCCAGAGAAAATTTCAGTTTGCTTCTGCCAAGGGCTTCTGGGCATTAGCTTAAAGGAATTACTCTAATCCAATCTCAGGGGTGAGATGATTTGAAATGGAGATATCTCCCCTTTACTTCTAGGATATAACCACTTGGATGCCTTGTCCAAAGCAAGGGGGCTTCAACCCAGTCATTCTCCTTCCCCTTTGCATATCTTGAATTCTAATCACTATCCCCCATTCCTGTTCATACTCTCAGCAACCTTCTATGGAATATGTAAGTGGATTCACTGGGCCTCCATCAACCCTCAGGTCATGGACAATAATTTCTATCTAACACATTCAAGCTGATTTTTTTTTGTATTTTGCTAAGTTTTTCCAGTGTCCTTAGTAAGACACTAGTCCTAGTAAGTGTCCTTAGTAAGAAACTAGTGAGACACTAAGTCCCAAGTAATTTGGTCCAAATTACTGCCAATAACAGGATCTATAGAAATGTAGGTTCTTGGGTACCTGGGTGGTTCAGTTGGTTAAGTGTCTGCCTTCAGCTCAGGTTTACGATCCCAAAGTCTGGGGGTTGAGACCTGAGTCAGGCTCCCTGTTCAAAATGGAGTCTGCTTCTCCCTCTCCCTCTGTCTCTTCCCCTGGCTTATGCTCTCTCTTGCTCACTCTCTCTCAAATAAACAAACTAAATCTTTATAAATAAATAAGATTTTAAAAAAGAGTAACATAGGTACTATCAAATACAGGTAGTTGCACTTAGGAAGGACATTGAAAAAGATTCTCAAAGGAAAAAAAAATAGACCTTCATTAACAATTCCATCTTTTTAGCCCAAGTGGCAGACCAGTACTTAGGACTGTTGTATCCTAGTCCTGGCAGCTCGTAATTTGAGAAAAGTTACTACTTTTATCAACAAATATCATTGTTATATATTATATATTATATACATAATATATTATATATCACCTCTGTCCCAAAAACTGTTCCAAGAAATTAGACTATAAGAATGAAAAAGATATGGTCATTGACTTCAAGGGGCCTGAAGCCTACAATTGTTATCGGTAAGCTGGTTATTTTTGGAATCACCAAGTCATGATTAAAGTCTTTGTTAAATATATGTAATACAATGATAAATACATTTAAAATGTAAACACGTATATTCGAGTTTATATCATATTTCAACCTAAATATGAGGGCATTTCAAACAATATATTTTCTAATGCATTTGTCTTCCAGGGAGGTTTATTACTGAATATGTTCCTTTAAAGTATTTTGGAGAACAAAGAATACAAACTTCGCAAGATACCTTAAATGCCAGGATCCTCTTTTTCCAAAAGAGTTAAACTATGGCTTCATAGCCTTTTTACTCTTGTAAACTCCTGGGAAAAGCTACGCACTCTGAATCATCATTAGTTTTAATCAGAGCTTTTTCCTTGATAGGTATCCAAAGTCCTCTAAAATAGCCTTTAAGTATACAAGTGTCCCTGGACTCTAAACTTAAAGTGTGACAGATTTCCTAAGGGACCTGAGCTTTACCCACAGAGATTATTTAAGTGTTCCCAGCCTCTCTACTGAATTAGTAGAGAGGACCAGCGGAGAGATCTTAGTGGATGCCAATGCAGTATATTTATTATTTGACCTTGAACAAGTTACTTAACTGTTCTGGATTTGTTTTTGCATCCATGATAAACTGGGCTCCTAGATGACATATCTTTAAAGTATATATTAATTCCAGATCTCAAATTCTGTGATTCTTCTAGAGTTGAGGAGGACTGTTTGGTCACCTGAGTTTAAAATTGATTAGAGGGGCACCTGGGTGGCTCGGTGGGTTAAAGCCTCTGCTTTCAGCTCAGGTCATGATCCTGGGGTCCTGGGATCGAGCCCCGTGTCAGGCTCTCTGCTTGGCAGGGAGCCTGCTTCCCTTCTTCTCTCCCTGCCTGCCTCTCTGCCTACTTGTGATCTCTGTCCGTCAAATAAATAAATAAATAAATAAATAAATAGAAGGAAAAATAGAAACTAAAGTTCAATATATCAAATAAGATTCTATTACAATAATCTGTAAGGAGATGAAGACCTATATTATATTAGGGATCACCATGGGCAGCAGAGATAAAACAAAGGACTAAGGTATGAGAAGGCCGTGGCTCACCAGAAGCTACCTCCTCTCAATCTTCCCTTCGTTCCTCTGCTCCCTTTCTACTACCTTCTCCCTCCGGGAACTTCCTTCAGTTTGTCCACATGAGGAGGCAACAGTGATTGCTCTAAAGGGAAAAAATGAAGCAACTCTTGCTTTAACTGAAGCTGACTGTATATTTACCTTGTGGCCTCTTACTCTAAATACAGTTATGAGGTCTTTCAGGACAGTGTAATGAGAACCAAATGGAACTGGCAGGTGATTTTGGACAAATCATACAGACACAGCATTCTCCTCTGTGGAATGAGGACTGAACACTTCCATTTTTGATTTTATACATTCTGATGCCTGTAATTCTTCGGTGTCTCTGTCATCCCCACAGCTTGACTTGTTTTATTATCAGTAGGAAGCTTGTTTCATAATCAGCTCACTTTATACTCACAGCCTGGCACATAGTGAATATTCAGTTAACATTCATTGCTCAGGAAGAATGTGAACCTCCCATGCGTCAGTCACTATGCAGGTCTCTCCACCTTTTCTTTCAATCCATTCAGCACATTTGTGAGATAGGTATGACTACTCTAGTTTTTGAAGATATAAATATAGATATTCAGAAATCTAGTAATCAGAATCATAATCTTAGTAAGATGGAGCCTTAGTTCTGCCACTTACCTTATATTTGTCAGGTTATTTTTCTAAGCCTTGGCTTCCTTATCTGTAAAGTGGGAATTTGTAAGAGTTAGGATAGGGTTTGCAGATTTAGCAAAAAACAAAACAAACCACCAGAAGTGTATCCCCAAATGGAACATTCTCTTGTTAAAAAATATGATTCTGTATTTTTCTGAAATTCTGATTTAATGGGACACTGCTGTGTTTTATCTGGCAACGCTATCTTAGCATTATGATTATTACAACGCATGTCAAAAATTTAGCTCAGTCCCTAGCACTTGGTGAGGGCTCAATAAATGCAATGTTTACTAAATTTTGGATCTGATTCCAAAGTCCTTTTTTTTTTCCACCACAAACACGCTGAGCTCAGTTTTCACTTAAAATTTCAGTCAAATAACTACTTTTAGTTCATATTAATGTTTTACCGTTCCTACAGCGCTTTCAAAGCCTGGCCAATGGCGGTAAGCTCTTGGGGAACCCCCAGAAGCTCCGGCTATTGGAGGTCTTCAGGGTAGTCCCAGAACCAGGCTCCCCCGGCGGACCGACCGGGGAGGCCACCCTAGCCCCGCCTCCACACCATTTCGGCCACTCAGGGGCCGTGCCGCGCCCCGCCGCCCTCCTATAGGTCCTTCCGGACAGGCGAGGCCTTTCCATTTTTCCCGCCTTCCCAGCCCCTCCTCAGCCCGAAAGCGGCACTGGCCCACAACGTCTCCTCCCTGCCTTCCGTGTGAACCCCGCCCTTCCGGACACTGCATCACCCTTCCTTCCCACCAGCAGTTCAGAGCCGCCGGCGAGGTCCCGGGCCGGCCCTTAGGTAGGAGGTGGGAGGGGACACCGAGGGGCGGGCCGAGCCCCCTCCGGAGTGGTCGCAAGAGGCGGGGACCAGAGGGAGGGGCGGGGCTAATCTCCTTGGCGCCGCGTTGCCATGGCATCGGGGGAGGGTGCAGGGAGGGGGAGGAAGCGAGCGGGAGGGGGATGTGGTGCTGCCGCGGCCGCCACCGCAGCTGCCGCTGCCTGCTCTTTGCCGCGTCTTCCCGGAGGCGGCTGCTGGGAGCCGTCGGGAGCAGCTGAGCTGCTCTGCCATATTGTGTCTTCCCCTGCCCGTCCCTCGCCTCCCCGCTGCGGCGGCCGAGCAGACGGTGAGTCCCGTGCGGAGTGGCGCCCTCCTGGGCGGGCGCCGCCGGGCAGCCGCGCTCCCAGCCCCGGCCCGCCGCACAGTTCCCGGGCGCGGAGGCAGCGCGTGCGGTCGGCGCCCGGCGTGGGGCGCGGAGGCGGCTGTCCCGTGACGCGCCCGGACATTTTTGTCCTGTGAGGAATTGGCGCCGGCATGGGGGTCTCCCCTGCGCTTGGCTTGGGTCCTGCGTGGGCTCCCGGGGGTGTCGAACTAAGGGGAGCGCGGCCCCGTGAGGAGTTAGGAGTTTTTCGTAAGAGGTAATGACTGCCCCGTAGCGGGTGCCGCGCGGCGGAATCCGTGACTAGGGGTGCCGGCTCTCCGGCAAGACTCGGGGAGTGGCCCTGAGGACGCTTAGGGCTCCACTCGGGGCGAATCTGCTGTTAGAGGAAGTGCCTCAAGCCCCTCGGGAGTGTGTGCAGCACCCCCTCCCCCCGCCTCCAAGTGGAGCGAGACGTGCCGGGCGTGAAGTCCTGGTCCGGCCCCGGGCGGCCTGCCTGGGCCGGGCCAAGTAGTGCCCGGGTAGGCGCCCGCCGCTGCCTGGAGTGAACTTGTTAAGCCCGGGAGCTGCCGGGCGTTGGGGGTACAGGGGCGGGTCCCGGATGTGGGGGTGGCCGACCCCGGCACCCTCTGGCCCCTCCTCCAGCGGGCGCCCTGGGGGCCTCGCCGGGTGGCTGTCTTAGTGGGGTGCGAGTTAGGGGTTTTCTGCGCTGCAATATGGACACTTCCTGTTCGCCAACTCTCTTGAGCCCGTGGTTACTTCTGCCCTTCTGTCTTGTGTCTGGGAGGGTGAGAGGTCGTAGGCTAGGCCCTCCGTGTGCTGGGTTCGCCCCACCGCAGCAGCAGCAGCAGCAGCAGCGAGTCTGAAACCCGGGAGGACTGTGGGAGTCAGGAGAAAGCGGGCCCCAGTGCATAACCCTCCATCCTCCACTGTTACTCAACTCCACCTCTTTTACCCCTTTGCAAAATGCCTCTGTTCCCATCTTGGCTCGCGGGAGTGAGCTTAGCGAATTCAGTGGGGTGCACACTCGGGATCTTCTTGGACCTGCTTTTTGATTTAGTCTCTTTAAAGCAGCCCCTGTACTTCGTTTTCACCTTACAGAAAAAAGAAAGTCTTATCATGCAAAGAAACGGCATGGTCTTTCTTCTACCCCAACTCCGCGGTGGAGGGAGGAGGAAGGTTATTTGTTTTCAGGTTAGTTTGTGCTGTTTCTCCGGTCTTCCTTCTGATTGTGACAGCCACGTGGCCGGCTGAGTGTAATAGAGTGCCCTAGCGCCACTAGGTGTGAGGCTTCACTGGTACCCGGGGCTTTGCAATCTTGATGTAGCCTCAAATCCACATTTATTTTGGTGTTTTCTGAGATGAGGAAGTGGAAAAAGCTGGACTGTTCATGTCTATCTCTGTTCCATCCGAATTGTAAGATTTACCTGTTACCTTGCAGTCCTTCTAAGGGTATATATTGACGTGGTCCTTCTAAGGGTATATATTGACAGCCTCCTATGCTGTTTTGATGATTCATCTCTAAAATCTCAGCAGTATTAGGTACCATTAAGAGGTGGTGGGGCAATAGAGTAGAACATTATGGAGTTCCCCAACTCTGGAAAAAAAGTCGTTTGTATTTTAAAAGCGTTAGTGAGAGGTTCTAATGCAATAAGAAATAATCACGTTGTGGAATATTTCTTTTTGAGTTTTATAAAAGTCTTATTTTTTTCTTCTTACATAAAAATTCTGACCTGAAAAAATATATTATTAGTGAAAATACTTGTTTAGGGATGAAATAAATACCCGTTTGATTTGTGTATGTGCACTTTAAGCTTTTTTGGGGAAAGTTTTAATAGTTAATATGAATGTTAACATGAACATATTTTATTTTAAGGAATGACATTTAATTTTAAAACAGAGGGTCAAAGGGTTGAAAAATGGAAAAAATCCAAACTTTTGGAGAGTTGGCGAATTTTAGAATTTAGGTGTAATCCCTGGACACTAACGCATCATGTTTCATTTTGTAAAAGCTTTGGTGGATTTGAATTATTTCTGTAACATATGTTTTTATTTGAATCAGTTTTACTTGAAGGGTGCTAAGCCACAGGAAACATTTAGAATGTGTAAAAGAATTATGTACAGAAGTTACAGCAGCACCCTTTATTAGAATTTAATTACGCCTTAACAACGGTTCTCAATCAATGAAGTTAATAAATAAAAAGGTTAGAGAGGCTTCAGTGCAGAAAAGATAATGTGATTGAGAAATTAGTATTATATGTTGACCACTGAGAGGAATGCTTAGTTGAGAAAGAAAAGTAAATGAGGTGATGAAATACTTATATAAAGCAGGAAGCACTGAAAACATACGCTGTCTGACACATTATTAGTTATGGGCTTCAACTATCGAATGAAACTTTAAAAAGTGCTATCCAAAGAGGACTTAACTCTTGTTCTTATGGTAGCTTAGCTACTCATAGTATGTATGTTGTGTGTTGCTTTTAGATTGTTGTCATTTTGGTAACTGGGTTTTGCACAAATGCAAAAAGTCCTCCCGAAATAAAGCTTCAGGGGCCCAATGCTTTTCTCATTTCCTAGGGAAAAAACAGAGGTCTATGATATGATCCTTGTTCTTCAGTTGAAGAGAACAGACTAACAGCAGTGAAAATAAGAATTTATATTGTGAGAGGATACAGTTAGGAGTTAAATTTTATAATGCAGGCAAGTACTGTAAGGCTTAAAAGGAGAAGGAACCTACAGGGTTGTGATTGGGGAGGCTTCTTCAAGAAATAAGGCTCTTGCTTTCTTAAGTCTAACCTATGTTATTCCACTCTTATGTCAAGCATGAATTGTATCACCCTTTATGTCAAACTGAATACCAGATTTCTTCTCAGGACTTTCCCAACTTTGGTCCCTGTCTTCTCCTATCTTATTTTCCAGTAACCTTCAGGAACTGTTCTTTAATTACTACTTAAGTGTTGTAAAAGAATTTTACTTCTTACCTTTGCTGGTGTAACATTTTTCTGTTGGAAATGTACCTGCACACATCCTCTTAACCACGCAAGAAATACTTGATCTTGAGTCTTGGCTGCCCTTAGAGCCTTAGAATCACAGAAATACAGACCTGCTTTCACTTCTCCAACTGAAAATTCTTTACCTTCTCAAATTGCATATAATTCTTTTGGCTGTAGCATTCTATACTGCCTTGTTTTCACTTAATGAATACTTTTTGAGCCCTTACATGTGGCAGGCACTGTTATAGGAACTGAAGTTACAGCTTTGAATGAGAAAAATTCCTGTGTTCTTTGTTAGTCTTTTTTTTAGGTTTTATCACCCCCAAGGAGATTATAAAGTCTTTGACCACCCAGAAGAATCTTGTTTTCTTGTGTATATGTGATATGCTTAGTGAGTATTGAATTATTTTCTGAATAAAGGAAAGGCTTATGGTATGACGTAGAGAGATGGATGCAAGGATCTTTACAAGGGAAGGTACAAAAAAGCATAAGCAATTATGGATGGCCTTGAAAGTATCACTTCTGAATTTAAATATGGTTTAGTTAAAAGAAAGTGTTTGAGCCTGGGTTTATGATAAAATCCTTGTTTGAGGAAGATTCATTTGATAGTAGTGTGTACTGCTGATTATAAACTGTGGGGTGGAGAGGCATAACTTTGAGAGGGAGGTTTGGAAGAGGAGCTTTATCAAGAAGATGAGGAGTTTAGTTAGTTGAGTGTAAGGTGAGTGGGAGATAGCAAGGAGGAAATGACCTTAAAGTGACTAAAGATTAGAGATGTGGGATAGTCCATTCAATACAGAATGACAGCTAATGTTATGAATTTTTGTCACAGAGTGAAATGAAATGTTGAGGATCAAGAATGATACTTTGGGAAACTAAAATTCAGAGGGCATTTGCTTTGGCCATATGTAACTTCATAATTAATACTATAGACTTATACTATGCCTACAGTGTGTTTTATTAATAACTTTATTTCCACAATAGGAGAATGCTATCTTTGTCTTACCACCAAACATAAAGGGACTAAAAGAATGTTTATCATCATTTACTTCCAAGAGATTTTGATTCATTCCTTATTTTCCTTACTCTGTTTTTATATAAATAAACTTTTTTAGATTAGTTTTACATTTACAGAAAAGTTGCAAGACAGTACACATGAGTATACCTTACTTAGTTTCCATTTCATTTTCGTTGTTAACTTCTTATATTACTATGGTACATTTGTTATAACTAAGAAAACAAAATTGGTGCATTTCTAATAACTAAACCATATACTTTATTCAGATTTCACTAGGTTTTTCCTAGTATGCTTATTCTGTTTCAGAATTCCAAATTCTCAGACTTTTCTTGTTTTTATGACTGACAGTTTTGGGGAGTAGTAGTCAGAAATATTAGAGAAGGTCCCTCAATTAAGATTTGTCCAGTGTTTTCTTCGTGATTAGGCTGGGGTCATGGGTTTTAGGGAGGAAGACAACAGAGGTGAAGTGCCGTTCTCATCACATTACTCCAAGGGTACATACTAACAATATGATAAAATTGATGATGATCTTGATCACTCTTTGAGGTCTTTGCCATATTTTACCCCCACCTTCCATATTTTACTGTTTTAGAAGCAAGTTGCTAAGCATAGCCCATCCTCAAGGCCTAACCTAATTTTGATTCATATATTTTCCCCCCTCAACCTAATTTTCTTTTCCATAAATAAACATTTAAACTTGGATAGATAATTTTTGAGCATCTACTGCATTTCAGTGCTAAGAATATAGTGGTGAGCAGGAGATGTCATTTCTACTTTTCTGGAGTCTGCCTGATAAAAAACATAGAATTTATCCCCTCACTTACATAGGTGTTGATTTCACTGTCAGTTATAAATGTAGTGTTATAATAATGTGTTATTGAGAATATTATCAATAAAACAGTGCTGGTTTTATTGGACAAAAATTTGATTAAAGGCATGTTGAATGAGAATTTCAG